CTGAGAGACAATAACATCTAAATATTCATGTCCAGTTTTTTTGTTTTGTTTTGTTTTGTTTTGTTTTGTGGGTGTGGTTTAAACCTTTTTTAATTGTTTCTAAGCAGTCACTCTGAGATAACATGCAGGCTGAACATCTACACCCAGTGAGCCGGATCTTGCCGGAACAAGATCCGGCAACTGTCTTATTTTGAAAGGACCGTTCCGGCAACTCACGCGACCAACTTGTGTTATACGCAGGGTCCAAATTAAAAAAGCTTTTATCATCACTTCCAAAAGTGATGTCCCTTTTCAGTGGAAACATCAAAAGGAAGCAGAAAGGAAAGACAATGGGAAACGTTTAAAGGGAGGAAAACATGGACCAAAATGGAAAATAGAAGAAAAAAGAAAGGCAAAAGCACAGGAGCACTGACAGGAAGAAGAAAGCAGAGCGAATATTGAAGGGAGAGAAAGACAGGAAAAAAGAGGAGGACTAATAAAAAGTGAATATAACTCGTGTCAGAAGAGGGGAGAGTTTCGCAAATCCAGTTAAAGATAAGATTGTCACAAATATAGTGTAAGGGGCCCCGTGTCTGTGTTCGCCTTGGGCCCCCAAATAGCTAAATCCGCCACTGCTCCGTTGACGTCACGTCACTGGTGGGGCCCGCGCGCACTCCGCGGTTTTTGCGGTCGGTATCTTTTTGAAGTGCAGTTCAAAGGTAACTCATTAGGTGAAAAATGTGAAGCCAGGTAGCAGATTTTCTTCAGGGTTGAGAGGAAATGCAGAAGACAAACAGATAGGACAGAAAAATAGTCGAAATTAAAACAAGTTTGTTTTTGTACCTGGAGGTTGCAACAGGAGGGAGAGGGCTGAAGCACTTTGAAAATGTGGGCGCAAGTTTTAATTGTCAGAAACTCCAGCGAACCGACCCGGACCCCCGTGTCTGTTTTGTCTTTAGTGAACTTGGTTTCACGTCAGTGTTTGCGTTCCGGGAACGTTTGTCTGCACCAATCTCCTGCAGTAGCTTCCGATAGAAAACAGACGGTGAAACTCTAGTGTGACAGTGAGTGTCCTGTCACAGTGTCCCGATAGATCATGCGCCCTGGCTACTTGGCCAAAGGGATGTCCCTTTGGCTGACTGGTTAGAGCGTATGACTCTCACCCGGGAGTCTGGGGATCGAATCCCGCCCGGGCCCTCATTTCTCCACCTTGCCACACTAGGATTATAAAATCCTGACAGATCTACGTCACCCTGTCACTTAACATTCATGGACTCACCCATCTGGACTCACGACGGGGAAGGCTGTTGTTGGTTTAGCATCCAGGGAACAGCAGAGATGCCTCAGCTAGTACATTAGTAGGGAAAGGCTGTTGTACTAGATCTGTCAGGGTTTTATAATCCGGATCATCACTGGCTCAGGCGCGGTGCTGCGCCATGGCTGAAGTTCCAGCGCTGCGCCTTAAGACGCACGAAGGGAAGCGCTCTGTGCGCAACGACCCCCGGACAACGCAGATCCGAGCATGTTTTGCTTTTTGTGTGTATATTGGTTAAATTAAATATATAAGCGAGTTACCTATAGCCACCGAAGCTGCAGCTATACTAGCAAACTGCTTTGGATATAAAACAAAATACATTTCAGATAACAGCCCATGACTTACTTTTCATTTATGGAAACCTTGTAGAATAAAGTCGCACTAATGAGCGCCAACGCAGCTGCGCTCTGGTGTCACAATGAGCGATAAACACGCGCAGCTCCTGTCTAACGGGACGGCGGGGGTGCCCAGGACCAGGGATTTCCCGGATGGCCGGTCTGGTCGGTGTTTTTCGCACCGTTTTGGTTTTTTGTTTAGTTTTTTCCGGCCGGTGTTCTTTCACGTCTTTTGATCACCTGCTGCTGATGAGGAATTCTCCAGTCAGTGTGGAAGGAACAGGTGAGCTGCTTCAGCTCCTGGAAACACTTTCTATGCCCAGAATGTTGAGAGCTGTTATTTATAATTTTATTATTAATAGTAGTTAATAAATACACTAAACCCACAGCACGCGACAGAAAATAAGATTTAAAAAGTCTGAATATTTTCTCCCACAGCTCAGCTCTGTTATAGAAATAAGCAGAAGTCTGCTTCAGCTGGACAACATGTTCACAGATAAACAAACTTTTATAGAAAAAATAAAGTTAATTTTTCATGTTAAGATGTATTTTTAAGGCTATCCAAGGTTTGGATGTCTGTGAACATTGTATATTTTTATCTTCGTCATCGTCGTCGTCTTCCTCTGCTTGTCCGGGTCCGGGTCGCGGGGGCAGCATCCCAGCTAGGGAGCTCCAGACCGTACTCTCCCCGGCCTTGTCCACCAGCTCCTCCGGCAGGACCCCAAGGCGTTCCCGGAGCAGATTGGAGATGTAACCTCTCCAACGTGTCCTGGGTCGACCCGGGGGCCTCCTGCCGGCAGGACATGCCCGAAACACCTCCCCAGGGAGGTGTCCAGGAGGCATCCTGACCAGATGCCCAAACCACCTCAACTGGCTCCTTTCAATCCGGAGGAGCAGCGGCTCTACTCCGAGTCCCTCCTCAATGTCCGAGCTCCTCACCCTATCTCTAAGGATGAGCCCGGCCACCCTACGGAGGAAACTCATTTCGGCCGCTTGTATCCGCGATCTCGTTCTTTCGGTCATTACCCAAAGCTCATGACCATAGGTGAGAATTGGGACGTAGATCGACCGGTAAATCGAGAGCCTGGCTTTCTGGCTCAGCTCCCTCTTCCCCACGACAGATCGGCTCAGCGTCCGCATCACTGCAGACGCCGAACCAATCCGCCTGTCGATCTCCCGATCCCTCCTACCCTCACTCGTGAACAAGACCCCCAGATATATATGTGTGTAAAAAACATAATAATAACATGCATAATATTATTAATAGCAGGTCATGATCTAAAGCGGGTCGGTCTGAGGTGTAAACTCCTCCCTGGGCCTAAAGCCCTGCAGATATATTTACTTTCTAAACACCAACAACAAATAAATAACAGCAGCTGGTTTCTACTTTGCTCCTCAGATGGGAGTCACTTAGTTTAGCGAGTTCTGCACGTTCACACGTCCAACAGCGTCTTTGCCAGCTGATGGTTCATTTCTGGTACTGAGCAGCATGGATGCATCGGTGCATTTCGCTGTAGTTGGTGTTCATAATGGGTTAAAGACAAGACAGATGAGGAGTGATGCATAGACACTGACACTAGTCAGTGACTCGATGCAACCTGCTGGGTTCCTTATACAGGAACTGTTTTACTGACTGGCTGAATGAACTGACCTGTGTTGGAATGTTTACTGCGTGAAGGTCCTTGAGACGACTCTTGTCGTGATTTGGCGCTTTATAAATAAACTAATGCCACAGAAAAAACATTCTGGCCAACATGTAACTCTACTTTTTTCTTCTCAAAATGCACCAGACCGACGCTTTTAAATATAAATATCCAAAATGTTTCTTCTGGGGGAGCAAGCCCCCGCACCCCCCTACAGTAATTCAGACTTATGTTGTTCACCTCTGATCTTTTTCATGTCTGCTCTGTTCATTCATGTAATACCACACCTTGTGGTTGGGTGGGGTGAGGGTGGGGGGGGGGGGGGCAATTGTGTGTCTGCATACCCCTCCGAAAGTAGGTGTGTCCCTGCTCCCGTGTATCCTTGCTCAGCTAGCTAAACGGCTAACAAACGGGGAACAGACGCCTTGGTAAAGCATGAACATTGGAACATGCCTTGGCAGTTCCTGATTATATATCTCCTAGGCAACCAGGGCGGGGCCAAGGCATCAAAGTAAGGTTCCTTGGCAATGAGAAACACCCCTAGTTCCTGTAACTGGCGCGCCAGGGCTTTATTTCCCCAGAGTAGGACTTACAGAGCATGCTTTCCTCCTAGAGACCACTGAACATGTACTGATGAAACGAGCGATCCACGCCTTTAATAAAGTTAAAGATTAAAGCTTAAGGAAAGTCAGCTGATATTCGGCTAATGTGATCGGCCAATCAGAAAGCCGATCTTGTAAAGACCCACCACCAAGTAAATATAAATTAGCTGACATTGTCCCAGTCCGTGAACGCACCACCGCTAAGCGCTAACTCACGTTAGCAATAATATGACGTTTTTACTTTCAGTCATGAAGTTTAAACAAACTTGAAATTGATTTCAAAATAAGAGTTCTGTGTTTGAGACGACGTATCAGAGGAGTTAACTGCCCATCTCTAGCCAGAGGGTTGTGGGATCGAGTCCTGCCCAGTCTGTTTCAGTCATTGTGTCCTTGAGCAAGACCCACTTTTCCTGCTGCTGGCGGTTGGGGGACCAGTGTGGCAACCTCGCTTCTGTCATTTTGCCCTGGGGCAGCTGTGGCTCCTGGCTACGATGTAGCTCATCACCATCAGCATGTGAATGTGTGTGTGTAGGTGAATGACTGATTGTGTTGTGAAGCGCCTTGGGGGGTTTTAGAAATACCGGCAATTTAAATCAGTATCAGCCATGAACCGGAACCAGTAGATTTTATCCGATCCAGAAAAATCTAAAACTGGTTTTGATTATTAAATAATTAATGATTTTAGTATACAGCTGTAGAGTTTCGTGCTGAAGAGGTTAAACTCACACAAGTTTCATCCAGTTACCTAGAACCTTTTTTATTTCCCATCTGTCTGCAGAAACATGACAGCTGTCTGCTTCTCGTGTCACATTTAGCTTTAACGCCTCGGGGATGTTCAGCATCAGCAGGTGACAACAAGGCTGAAGGTGTGAGCAGGTGAGGCAGCTCACACGTCAGCTGACCCCCGGGGGGAGGGGGGGGGGCTGATACCTGCTGATTTATTTATTTATTCAATCGTGCTGCGTTAGAGTCCGGCCTGCGGCCCTATCAGAGCCCAGCAGCAGGCTGGGCGCGTGCTGCGTTCAGGTGTCACGCTGAGAGCCCGGACACCTCGAGCGCAGCAGCAGTTCTTGGAGTCATGAAGCCTGGCTGATGATGAAGAGGAGGAGGAGGAAGGATAACTCACGTAGTGTTTGGACGGACTGCGCCTCTTCTCCACATCCACGACTTTCACGTCCAGAACCGTCCGGAACTGCATCCTGACCCTGCAGAGGTTTTGCATTAAAACGCTCCGGATGGATCCGCTTCCCAGGGAATAAATCACAACATTCCTCGTTGTGTCATCGGTCCAATCTGACGCAGCGGCAGATCGGATCCGAACTTATCGGCGGTCCGTTCGGTGGCTCGGTGTCCGAGTTCCCCCCCACCCCCCACCCCTCCCCGCTGACGGCGGACGGAGCACCGGGGAAAGCGGTTCCTTTGTGTCTGCAAGCCGGTGAATCTGGATGCGGGAGAACCGGACCGGTACCGGTGGATTCCAGCGGCTTCACGTCCTGACTGACACTTAGCACGCGCTGCTTCTGATCGGGGTGCTGCTGCGTAATCTTGAGCCAGTCATTGGTCCTCCTTCAGGGTCCCATAAGTTTCCCCTGAACGTGACACACGGAGCGGCGCGAGCATCCGGCACGAGGCGCAGCTGCGCGCGCCCAAAGCAGATTCATCTCAGCGGCCGGAAACGCTGTCGGGGGGGAGGATGTGAGAGGCTCTCCGTCCGAGGCAGGAGCAGCTTTCTGGCCGGAGACACGAACCACTGGAACTGAATACAGATGTTTCTCAGGCGACCAATCAGAGGCGGCGCTGCGCGTCACGGAACCAATTAACGGGCCAGCACCGACCCCTAGTGGTGGAAGTGCGCGCGTACAACCCCAGTGTGTGTGCGTGCGTGCGTGTGTGCCATGCGATACTAAAAAAAACAATGAGACTTTTTGCCCTGTAACTGGCCTGTATTTATACAGCAACTTCCAGATTATTATGGGATACAAAGTTGATTTTGACATCTCAGCTCCCACTGACCTCAGTTCTACTTTAGCTCTAAATATGATTTATTAACCTGGAAGAAAAGGAAGTTTTAGTCATAAAACCCAAACTCAACATTAACATCAATGCCTTCTGGTGCCCAGGGCTCCTAATGCCGAAACCAGTCTGTCCACTTTTTTTTTGGGGGGGGGGGGGGGGATCACTACCTTTTGGCACCTTTGTTATTTTCTCAAAAATGAAAATAAAATTTACATTTTAAAGGACAAGCTGCACATATGGCAGATAAAACCAGCAAGGTGGGGCTTAATAAAGACCCAGGAGAGTTTCTTTTAGCTTTGAGGCTTCAGAACCAGCTGATCCAAACATCTGTTGGTTTTATTTATTTAAAAGTTCCCTCATATCTGAAAGCCATCCTCTCAGAAGAAGGTTTGATACAAACAGAGCCGAGGGCTCCGGCTCATGCATGTCGGGGTGGGAGAGGGCTAAAACGCCGTGTAGCTGTTGTCACTGGTGCTGATGATGTCACTGCTGCACTCCAGCGCCTTTAGGACGAGCTCCAGAGCCGCTCGGCTCACGTTCAGGCTGTGGCGCTGCCTGACAGCAGACAGGATGTGCAGGACATGGCAGCCCTTCTCTGCGTCTGCAGGTACAAAGACGAGGAAGAAGCCGTCAGCGTCGGATGAAGGTGATCCAACAGGTTTCTGTCTTATCAAAGCCAAGCAGTTAGTCTGAGAGCACTGACACCAAACAATCTGGGACTACATACACTTATTCTTCTTGGAGTCTTCTCTGATGATGTCTTTGACAGCTACGAGGAGATCTTTGTCCCCCGTAGTCACCTGGAGAGAGAGTCAGGATTAGGATTAGGATTAAACAGATGGTGAGGGACTCCTGTAGGACTCATCTGACATCACTCACATAGTAGACCTCATCCTGGGACTTGGCCCGCTGGTAGACCAGGCCCTCGTCCTGCAGCGTTTTCAGGACCTCTTTAAGAAGCTGCTGAAGCTGCCGGCAGGCCGACGGACCGGCGACGGAATTCTAAACACCACAAAACCAGAATAAACCATGAACTTCAGTTATAAACAGCAGCAGCTTTTAAACACGTTACACAAAAATGAAAAAACACAAATAAACAAGCATGAATATTTAAAAAAGTTTATTTCTTAATTCTTTTTGACTTGCACCGATTCTGGTTTTCAGGGCCGATACCAAATCCTGTTCAGTTCTGATTTATCTTAAAGGCTTATAATTAAAATCATCTTTTCAATATCCATCAAACCATTCAGATGCTCTAATGTTTAAAATAACCTTCTTTTTTTTTACTCTCACCTCGTCTGCAGACGGTGGTTTGTTGGAGATCAGAGGCTCCAGGAGATCCTGGACATCATAAGTTCTGAACCTGGTCACAGACTTCTGGTCCAGGAATCGCCTCATGATGTTTGCTGCCTTGCTTAACGGCGTTTCTGTCGAGATTCTGGTAAACAGACGGAACTTTAAGCAGGAAAAACTTCGAAGTCACCCTGAAAAATATATCTTATGAAGTTCTGATCCGACTGCAGGATCTCAGAGACGAACAAACTTTTGTACCCTGCAGCTCCTTCGGACTTCAGAAGCAACGGTTTGTCATAGAACTCTCTGTAGAGCTGAGGAACCTCCATCATCCACTCTATCTGCACCGCCATCATCGGATCATCCACTCTATCTGAGAAAACACACACACACACACACACAAGAGCCAGACATGAGGCTAGGTTATCCAGAGTTATGCTGCTATAGGCGTTGGATGTGCTACTACTAGTTTACCCATTTAATTACAGATCCACTAGGATAAATACAACAAAGTTTATCTCTCACCAAATAGAATATTTACTAAGAAATCACAATATAACTATAGACACATTACTTTGTGTGTGTGTGTGTGTGTGTGTGTGTGTGTGTGTGTGTGTGTGTGTGTGTGTGTGTGTGTGTGTGTGTGTGTGTGTGTGTGTGTGTGTGTGTGTGTGTGTGTGTGTGTGTGTGTGTGTGTGTGTGTGTGTGTGTGTGTGTGCGCTCTGTCTTCTCCATCCCCAGTGAGTCGTGGAGGATGGCTGCTTATACTGAGCCAGCTGGAGGTTTCTCCCTGTTAAAAGGGAGTTTTCCTCTCCACTGTCGCTATATGCTTGTGTGGTAGGATGAACAATTGGGTTAATGGAGATTTGTCCAGGTGGATGACATTCTGGTGATTGTGGGGCGGGGCACGCTGCCTTCATAAGAGGCAGATACCTGCTGCTCACACACAGCTCTCTGATTCTAATCCTCAGCACCGCGCGTGTTTGAGGTGGCGATATGCCGTTAGCGACCGTAAGTAAAATCCAGTTTACTGCCTCATTAGTATTTCCTCTCTGTGACAGCCTACATGGTGTATCTGTAGTGAGAGTGCTGGTTGGAAGCTGACGACTATGCAGCTCCAAACTTGCCAGCCAGAACAGGTGTATAACCAGAGTGGCCTCTTCCTGTTTGGAGGTTGTTTTCCTCAGGCAGCTGATCTCCTCCCCCACTCGGCAGAGGAAGCCAGTAGTTTTAGGTTACGGGGTGAGCTGATGCAGGGGCTTTTTACCATCTGTTTGTCTTGCAGCACGGTCAACCTGCGGTGCCGGCTGGGGGGCTGTCCGCGTTGGCGGTACGCCTCGACGGCTCCGCCACCTGGGCTGTGTTGGGTCCCTCGCTGCTTCACCGTGGCGTTCCTGGACGAATGGATCTAAGCAGTGTGCTCCAAGGCTCCACACTGCTGTTTTTGTTAACCCTTCTTTTAAAACAGTATTTTGGCCCGCTGCTGGGCGGGGCTGCACAGTGTTTGGTTGCCAGGGCAACCACTGGATCTCCCACACCGGATACATTTAATGGAGCCGGTCAGGGGATTTATTTAGGTTTTCCCTGTTTTTAACATAACTGGCCTGTGTCACACCTCCTTGTTAATTTAGTATATTTGTATTTTATATGAAGTATTAAAGGGACTTTACGGAGTTTTGAATTTTTATGCTCGCGATCACCCCCTCAGGCCAAATGTGTAACGGCAGCTTCAATAGTAGGCTCGTGCACGAGGCGCACATGCTGTACGTGCACACTCCTTAACGGAAATAACAGCTGAGACAGTCCTGTGTGTGTGTGTGTGTGTGTGTGTGTGTGTGTGTGTGTGTGTGTGTGTGTGTGTGTGTGTGTGTGTGTGTGTGTGTGTGTGTGTGTGTGTGTGTGTGTGTGTGTGTGTGTGTGGCCCAGAGGACAGGACAACGCGCAGCTAATTAATTAAATAATGTGGTTCTGTACCTTTCTCTTCAGCACAGCTGACAAAGGTTTATGATGGGTCAGTCCTCCTGCATGCTCAGATCATTCCCTTCCCTTGCTTGAAAAATTGTTCCAAAATGAAAGTTGAACCCACATCTTTTTTATCTGTGAATTCAATGCCGTTCGGTGAGTCTCAAATAAAAATTTGGGCGTCTTACTGTAAAAAATATACCATTAATGTAAAAAAGAAACTCTAAATAAACTATGTTCACATCCAGACTCTAACCCAGGTCTTCTGCATGAGAGTCAGACACCTTACTAGGTGAGCTAAAGCACCAGTGGCATCATGTGTATCTGTAACATTTATATCCTTGATGACAGCTGAAACAACGTCAAACCAAAGAACGGTTCGGAGTGAAAACGGCTATTTTGTTGCTAATTTGCAGGAAATATCTAGAAGAAAGTTCTACAGAAAGTAGCTAAGGGTCCTCAGAAATGTAGCTAGCTTTGTCACTAGGCGTTAGGAACAGCGACAAAGTGGCACTGCCTCTCTCTCTGCTGCTAAAGCTACGGATAGCAAATGCTACGGGCGATGCCTGAGCGTGAACGCGCATGAAGCAGCCTGCTCGACCCGAGCATCTCTCTTTTTCTGTGATTTTACAGAAAAACAGGCAATCCCAGTAAAAATGCCAGGGCTCATTCTACAGGGCCAGGGCATTGCAGGAGAACGTATGAAGAAGACATTTATTATTTCTACACATGTTTTGGCTGTCACACTTCCTTTTAGTCCCTTTAAATAAAGGACATTTCTGTATTTAAGAACACCGGTCTGTTCCTCGGTGGGTGTGCGGGCCTTAGTTCCCTGGAGCCTACCGGCTCTGGGGCGGCGTTGTTGCAACAGTTTCACTTCTTAACATTTTACTTAGGACGGACCCATTTTGCCACACTTGCTTAGTATGAGGATTGCTGTAAAGACTCTGACACGAGTCCGTGACTCGATGCAACCTGCTGGGTTCCTTATACAGGAACCTTTTTTCTGATTAGCTTAATGAACTGACCTGTACTGGAATGTTTATTATGTGAAGCGCCTTGAGACGACTCTTGTCGTGATTTGGTGCTTTATAAATAAACTTGAATTTAATGTTTCTAAATAAAAGGATCTGATGAATTCATGACATTTTTAAACATTCGTTCATTCATTCATCTTCTGGAAACATTTCTGCTACTACGGTCTCTGAGAGCTGGTGTCAAACTCCACCAGGCGAGAGGCGGGTCTCCAGTCCATCACAGGGACACACTCAGTAAACCTCCAGTTAACCCGAACACACATGGGCGGAAACCAGACACGTTCTGACATTTAGCTTCATTTTAAAATATAAAAGTATTCATTTAAGGTTGGTGAGTGAGTGAAGCAGGCTCACAGTAGGTGGAGGCCATGATTTCTCTCTGCTGCCTTGATGTCTTTACTGGACCTCGTACCCGGAGCAGCTCTCCGAGCTCCAGGCGGCGGCGTTCCTGCTGGGCTTGTCGGAGTTTCTTTAGCTCAGCGACTGGGTTGAAGCCTCCTTGGCCCACGTCACTGGGCTTTACACCAGCTGATGGTTATGAAACAAATTCATCTGAATTGTCCACAATAATAAAACCACATTTTTGCTACAACACTGAGTGGTGTTTAAAAACAATTAGGCTGCAAGATCTCCAAGTTTCAGCTGACTTTAAGTGTTGTTTATCTGGGGAACGATAGAATCGCATCAGTGTTTTCCAAGGGTTTGATTATCATCGGTGCTGCTGTTGAATGAGACGTTATTATGAAACACATAAAGTCACCTTTAATGGGATCTTCTTCCGGCTTCAGGAGCTGACTTTTCCAGCACAGACAGTTTATGACTCCGGTTCCGTCGTCCACTGGGTTTCAGAGCATAAACACTAAACTAAAACCATCCTGTCTCGATTATAAACGTCTCTGAATTAAAGAATAGACTAAATCTATGCTAATGACAACCACCACATCAATATTTCAGATTTGAATTCTGACCCAGAACACGTTCTGTACCTCCGTAACAGAAGAAGTCCTCCCTCTCCTTCTTATAAACCACCGTTCCAAGAACATCAACTTTGTAGATTGGATGCCGGTTGTAGAAGTAAATACCTGTGAGAACAAGACAGACACTAATTTGATTGGGGTTGGGAAGTCTGATCAACTCAAACATTCAGTATTAGTTAGGACTAAGCCTGAATTCAAACCCTTACAGGGCAAAATCCTGACTTCTGAGCCACCGCTGCATTTCATGACCAGAAGTAACTAAAATGATATTTACAGACTCTTAGATTTGTGTTTTTCTAAGTCTTGTGGTGAAGTTTTTTACTTGCTTCCAGTTTTGTTCTGAATATTCAGTTGTAACTTCCTGCATTGTTATCCAGATCTTCTGATGTTCTTATGAAATCTGTGCGACCTCATTAGCAGTGTTTCCCAGTTCCGGTCCTCGGGACCTCCTGCTCTGCATGTTTTCCATCTTGCCTTTTCAAACACCGGTGTTCCCCTGCTGCCACATACCTGACATATGAATGGGTAATTAACAGGCCTCTGCAGCACTTGGTGTTGGTGTCCTCCTAACGAGGCAACGCTAATATGTAAGTCAGGTGTGCTAAAGCAGAGACACATACAAAACATGCAGAACAGGGGGTCCTGAGGACCGGAATTGAGAAACACTGCAGTAGAGTGACATGCTGCTGCAGAATAAAAAATGCAAAACTGCAAGTTGAAAATGAATAAGTATTTTTATTATTATTATCATTATTATTGGTAGTAGTAGTAGTAGTAGTAGTAGTAGTAGTAGTAGTAGTAGTAGTCATGTGTCTAGCACTTACAAATGTATGTAGAAAGTGTAATAAATGCAAAGGTACCAGAAGACATTTAAAATTTGATATTTGAGTTGAATCAAAACATCTCAAACGTTTTGTTAAAGCTTAATACTTTACACCGTTTATTGTTGGTTATTTGTTATATTCACAAATAATAAACAACCTATATGTATTGTTTTTAATCACTATTAATGCGCAATATTTTACTTAATTTAAACATCCTACAAATGTGACAATAGCTCTGCATGACTCTTAAATATAATGTAAGGCACCTGCAATAGAGCTAAACGAAGACTTACTATTTATTTCGGTACACGCTGTTGCTCAAAGTGTTTATTTTTTTTTACCTGGTACCTGGATGGACTCTGTCATCTGTAGGATATCTTTGACATATAACCGAGCAAATGCAGAGAAGAGCGGGTCCAGTCCCCACAGCATGGAAGGGGGCTCTTCTGCCGGGTCCATCGTAGCTGCCTGCATCTCATCATGAACACAAAACAAGTCATAACATTCTAGTTTCCTTCCAGCAACTGGACCCGTCTGCTTGAAGCTAGCTAACGTCGGTGGGCTAACTTCCTGCAAGCTGGTCACGTGACACTTTTGTTGATGTTTTGTTTGTTTTTATTTATTGGGTTTTTTTTATTTAGCAGTTTCAAATCATTAAAATTATGTCTTACGAGCCCAATATTAATAAAGTTCAGTTAAATTTTTTTAACGTGTATGATTTTCCAATCTGGTCCCAGCGCGACAGTGTTTCTGGGATACGTAGTTTCACGAACACAAAGAGACTTGATTGTTGCGTTTTGAAGCATTTTTATGGCTCGTTGTTGCAATTATGAAGTAATAAACGTCTAATAAACGGTTTGTTTATTGTTTTTGTTATAAATTAGGCAGTTACATCGTTTTAAAAGCAGCTGTTTTTGCATTAAAAATCCTCTCTGACAAGGGCAGCGGACAAATGAAATTACCCGCCAACTGTCAAACTCACAGACATAAACAAGTTAGACGCCGCCTGAGCGTCCAAAGGGCACCTCAACGCAAAAGGATCTGCCGAGTGTAATAATTAATAATGTTTCTGATTAATAAAGACGTTAAATAAAATCGATGATCTGAGTGCTCTCCCGCTCCCATCCAGATCCTCTGACATCACCTTCACAGGAAATAACTGATCATGAAGATAAAATAACAGCTGAAATGAGCAGAATTTATGAACATAAACATAAAAATCTGTCTCAAAATCCAACAATAACCGAATATAGTCGTGTGGAAAAGCTGGCTGTCTGGGCTGCAGTGGCAGATGGTGAAAATAATCATTGGTGGGGCTTTGACTGAAATATTCCCCCTCTTAGTCCATTATAATTATTAAAATGAACAGTTGGAAAATCACTACAATTCCAAAACAATTTATTTACCTTCTCCAAATTCAACAATCAAATTAGATCAATTAGGCCATAACTTGAATAAATACACAAGTCTGTCGATGCCTTAACTACAGTTTATAATATCTATTTTTGTCTTTCTTTACATCTTATTTTGACATGTGTGTGTTTTCCAGCTTGAGTTTTCAGTCTCCAGCAGCCCGTGTCTCAATCACCTCGCAATTAAACATCACAGCGCAATACTCAGCTACACCATGGTTCTAACACAACATAGATGTTTTAAACAATACTCGTATAAATTTAAATGGAAACATTCTTAATACAATCCTAAAGTTCAATAATGTTTTGTTGTAACTCCTTATTCTAAGCATTGATAATAGTAACAATAATGATCTCATCTTCATAATCTTCTGAGAGTGGCTAAAGATGCTGATGGATGTGGGCAGGATGGGCATCGGTCTGTGCTACAGCAGGTCTGAAGACGTCTCTGACCAAAGATGATCTGTTGTTGAATGAAGATGCTCAGGGTTGTCCATCAGTTTTTGACTGATCATCTCCAGTGGTTCCACAGTAGTCCCCAGAACAAAACCAGCCTTTTTGATTAGGTTATTGAGCTATTTTAGGTCCCCAGCTCTGATGCAACTACACCAACAGGTGATGGCCCAAGTGATTACATCCTCCACAACAGACTTGTAGAAGATATGCAGCATCTTGCTACAAACCTTGAAGGACTTGAGCTTCCTCAAGAAGGACATTCGACTCTAGTGAACTTCAAATGGCGGCCCGGGGGCCACATCAGGCCCGCCAGACCTTTCCACCCAGCCCCCTAATCCTTTAGGCCCGTTTTTCCACATTCAAGATTAGGTGGTTGTTCCCTCGTCGTGCCACAAGCGCTCCATCAGCTCGCTCGGTTCCTTGACCATCTTACTCTCCAGCTTATTCCTGTATACTCTGAATAAAATAACAACTAAACACATTTTACTCTTTTTTTTACAGGCATTAATTTTACTGCAACAGCTGCACGTGTAGTTTCAGGGGAACGCAGATCCAGCACTTCCTGGCATGCTATCTAGTTGTTTTCTGTGGCAGGCCAACAATTAGGTGGAATACAACTATTCTATGGGATTAATAAATATGATGTTAAATAGTGGACTGTGATTTACATTGTATTTGTCTAGTTGATCATCACTAAAAACACTACAATCAACAATCAATCATGTAGGCCTATTTAAAAGTGATTAATCTTATTAATAATAAAGTCAAAGAAGTTTCTTTTTAAAATTTTATGTCAAATAGAAGATTTAAAATAAATATGGATGAGTCTTGTTGTCTTTTGCCAATTAAGAGAAGAGTTCTCACTTATTCTATCACTGTACACCAAAAAATTTGGTCTGACTTGGAAGAATTTATAATCACAAAATTGAAGATCAATATCAGTATTAAAATTTTGGATGTCATGTAATAGCTTGATAGCCATGGCTTGTCCAAAAATGTATTCTCTGTATTTTATTTATAAATTTATTTGTAGACTGAACAATTCTAAAATTGTGATTGTTCTAAAACTAACCAATACCTGTGCAATATGAGTCAAAGATGTGGAAACACTGGTATAACTGTCTATCTCTCTATTAGATTTGGGTGTCACAATAATTTATATGGTTTTTTTCCACACTACAGTTATTGTCTCTTGTTTTTATTTTTCACGATTATTTGTCTCTTGTGCTTCAGTGTGTCATATTGTGCTCTTTTCATGTTATCTTATCTTTACAGTGTGTTTCTACTTCTGTGAATTGTAGTAAAGAATACTTGACTTGTAATTCAGCTGTTTGTTATCCTTGGGAAATACCATGTTCACAAATGTAAATGGACTGACTCACATCCTTGCTTTAATATATTTCAAATGGACTTCTAAATATATTACAAAACAACAGAACAAACCCAAAATGTGAAAGCTACAAGAACAGTTCATCTCCTGGAGGAACGGCACATTTTTTATTTTAATTATTTTATATTTTTCGAACAATAATATGTTAGAAACCGCTGGCTGCTTGTTCTACATGCAGGTTGCACAAGAGTGTTTTTTTTTGTTCCCACTGTCTTCTGTGTTGTTCACATCGACGTTAATATAGGTTGTTCATGATAAAGTTTGTAAAAAAAAATAAATAAAAGCGGTGTCTAGTGATTTTATGTCTATGCTGTCAAACAACGAGCACGAGAAGAAAATAACTACAGGCACGCGCGCGGTGGTTGTGAACGCGCACGGACATAAAATCCGCTAGGAAGCCGAAAGCCGCCTCGCGCTCTGGAGAAATTACCGTTTTTACGGTTTTAACGGTCATTTAAACACGGAGAAGTGGCACACGTTTCCCCCGGGAGGAAAACAAGGAGTCACTGCGCTGAAAACACGAGGAGATTCAGAAACGAGGAATTTTTCGTGTTTCCTTTGGAGAAAAACGGAGCCGGGGGGGCTGTTGGGCCAGCGGCTCGCGGGGAGTTGGAACAACGACGAGCTTCCCGTTACGGTTTCTTTTGTCCAGACGTTAACACAACCTGCTTATCCGCTTGGGCCTTTGTTTTGGGATTTAAAATGCTGCTGATGTGTGAAGGAGCTGTTTGGTGGACCGGACCGACCCGGGTCAGAGGCTAAGCTCGGTTCCGTTCCGAACAGTTATGAAAGCAGCGCCCTGTGTCTAACTCCCCTGGACACCTGACTCTCTCTCAACACAAGGCAGCATCATGTCGTTTTTTAATTTCCGTAAAATCTTTAAAATCGTATCAGAGAAGAAGAAGAAACAATACGAGCACGTGCGCAGGGACGAGGATCCGGAGGAAATCTGGGAAATCATCGGAGAACTGGGAGATGGAGCCTTTGGCAAAGTGTTTAAGGTAAGAAACAGTTTTGTTTGTGTTGATGAAGCGGGATCTGACCAGTGACTGTAGAAAAAGATCGGACTCCATCTGACAGAGACTCCTTTAGAGGATCCCGTTGCGCCAGAATTCCCAGTAATTAGATACACTTTAGCCTGAGGACTGGAAAAGAGTCCTCCAGACACACACAGCATCCGACAGTGGTTCTGCCGCATGAACGGTTGACCCAAACTTTTGGGATCACTTGGGAATGTCCTTGGGTTTCCATGGAGACAGGTAGCCCGAGAGAACGGGAAGTTGAGTTTTGGGTCGTTTCAGGAGAATACTATCTTCATTCATCAAGTCTGATCCACAGGGAATGGGAATTCCTCAATAACAGACTCGGGCTTCCCTAAAGAGTCCTTCTGTGACGTCATCCTCCTGGAGCATCTAGTTTCCTCCTCTTATCCAAGGTTGGCCTTTTGGAGTGACCATTTCACCTCAGCTGTCTGACTCCTTTGATGGAGAAAACAACCATAAATCTGGTCACGTGGAAAGGCTTCCATGTTTTTTTTTACAAGCTAATAAATCTTAAACATGACGACATAGTCGAAACACGTGATCATCATGTGTGTTTCAGTTTTCCCCCTGAGCCGACCGGAAGGGGAGGAGTCTTGGGCTCCCTTTGATGGAGTTTGTTAGATTATCTTCTAGGAGGGGAGTAATTTCATATGCTTGGATTCAGGATCAGGTTCTTGTGGTCCTGATGCTGAGGAGAGCGTTTAGATGGACCTGTGACTCCGGGGCGATGACCTTTGACCCTGCTCTTTCTGTACCCACATGACTGCTCTTTTATCGTTAAATGGGTCAAAAGAATTACCTGTCATCCCGATTTCACCTGCAAATGCTGTAAAAGTTTTTTTTTAGCAAAACAAACAAAACAATTATTCATAATTTCCACAAAAATCCTAATTTCTAACGGTTTGGTTGCTTTATCTCATGTTCAGATTAATTTTTTGCATTTCCGTGAATCATTTATAAATGATCCCAAACTTTTCCCAAAATGCCCCACACTTCCAAGAACACAGAGCTCAGGTGAAACCTGTTACTTAACATCTAAAAGAGTTTTTAGAGTGTTTGCTCCTCGTGATCCCTGTTAACGCTCCTGGTGTTTTTCAGAGTTGCCTCCGTCTCGGAGAAACTTCCTGCTCATCAGAGTCGTCCCACCATGTGTTTTTATTACCAAATGCTGGAGCCTTATTTGCATGAGGCCCCGTGCGTTTATCTGAGAAGATCCTTTTTATCTGTGAGGACGTGAGCGGTTTATTGTTCCCTCCACAGGAGTTTGTTACAGAGTAGGAGAACGGATGGAGAAACACCGAAACTGATTTGTTTCTGAATATATTCGTTGTGTGTTTTTGAGATAAAGGCCCACAGGGTTATCAGAGCAGTGTGTCACAACGGGATTAGACAGATTAGGCAGAATTCATCTTGTTTCATAAATAAGATCAACCCTGATCTTGGTCTCCCTTCTGCCCTTCCTTGATTTTACTTTGGTAAAGTCCAAAATGACCGTTTGCACATGTTTGTGTTGCATCTTAGTCATAAAATATTTTAAACTCCCAATTCTTTTACTGAGGGAACGTTTTCCTGCAACTTTCTTTTGTCTGCGCCATTCTGGTTGTGATGCTGTTACCATGGTTTCTTAATGCATGTGGGGGGTTCTAAAACACAAGCATGGATCACGTTGGAGCCGTGGAGTACCAGGAATGGGGTGCATCCCATTCTGCAGTGGTGACTTCACAGAGCACTTCCTGTGCAGGAGTCCTATGTGTAGATTTCTTTAGTTTTTGACTCACTGGAAGCTGAAGCGGTGACTTAATATTAGTGGCATTAAGGTGGGATTATTAGTGATGAATGATAATTTATGATGAAGAATAGAGTGAGCTAACGGCTGCTTTCCCTCCAGGCTCAGAACAAACAGACGGGAATCTTGGCAGCAGCCAAAGTCATTGATACGAAGACTGAAGAGGAGCTGGAGGACTACATGGTGGAGATCGACATCCTGGCCTCCTGCGACCATGAAAACATCGTCAAACTGCTTGATGCCTTTTATTTTCAAAGCAAACTGTGGGTGAGTTTGTGAAACAGAGACTGGAGCAGACATCCCAGATTAATGTTCAGCTTCCATCCATAACGCACACAAAACATCCCATCGTGTCACCGACTCGGCTCCTGCCAGTGTCCGAGGTTTAGTGTCAGCAGAGTCGGATCAGGTGGATTACAGTTAAAGTGGAGAGTTTGTGTCAGATTATATTTACGAGGATGGGTTGTTTGTTAATCATCACACCATTATGCTGCTGATTCCAGATATTTAATAAAATCCTTTTAGTCCTGTTGTTTGTGAACAAAGTTCACCGGAGCAGCAGAAACGAGCAGCTTTCAGAACTGTTAATCATCATACCAGTTTATAATCCAGCTGCTCAGGACAGGGGGCCTTTGTGTTTCATCACACTCATTTAAAGCTGATGTCTAGATGGATTTAATCCTTACTGGTGATAAAAGCGGTAAACTCGGCAGGATTATCCCGTTAGAGCCCAGACCTGAACCCCGAGGTCACGCTGACGGACGTTTGTTTGTCTCTCCTACCAACACACGGATCTTTGCATGATGAACAAACGGCTTTATTTAGCGCTAGTGAGAATTATGTAAATGAAACGCAGCCCAGGCTGATCAGCTGGTGCCGCGCTCTGTAGTGCGAGCTAACTGGCCTCTGAGTAATGATCGCAGCCTGATGGGGTGGATCCGTAGCGTGGCCCGTGTGGACCTGTTCCTGCTGATGGGAGGAAGGTTCCACAACATTTCCTGCTCCAGATGAAAGACTTGATTTTGTAAAATCCCAGGACCGCCGGGAAGGTGTCACCAGCGGACGTTGTTTCCTCTTCGCTGGTTTACTTTCATATTCCCGTTTGAAAACACAAACCTGGAGTTATTCTGAGCCTCTGGATTATGGGTAACATCACGGTCGGCCACATCCTCCCGCCGAACCGCACGAATGGATTAGAAAGTTCTGTTGGTACGCGTCACATAAACAAGCAGGAGAGGAAGTCCCGGCCCAGCCTGTGGTTCCCGTCTGCCTGCTGCCTCTCTGTCTCTATGGCAGCCATTGTGCTGCAGCGGAGCCGCTAACACAACAGCACGCCTTCAGAAACACTAGAACCGTGAGCGTGTTCCACAGCCAGACTGCTCCAAGACTCAGCCATTGTGTTGTTGGAAGTGGAACAATCCTGAGGGGCTCAGCTGCCACTCAGGCTGTTGTTTTTACCGGAACTGGAATTTCTTCAAGAGTTTGTGACTTTGTGTTTGCTGTGGAGGACGACAAAGGACCAGTACATGTTCCTCAATGGTTCCGTGGCTGCCCACGTTTACTGTCCTTCAGCTGCTGACCGAACATGTGAAACATTATTTTTAAGCTTTTTAAAGAGATTCCAGATGCTTTGTTTTACTGCATGTTACAGGCACCGTGTCCTCGGATACTCTAATCCTATTTACGGAATAAGGCTTTAGGTCTGGCAGCGCTGCCTGTGAATTAGCCAGCAGCTGTGAGAAATGCTTTCCACAATCTGGCCTCCAATCCTCTTACGTCAGCCGTCCGGCCGCCTCGAAGCGCCTCCAGGAGCGTCTCGTTCTCTAACCGCTTCAGCCAGGGGGTGGTTTGGGAGCGTGGTCCTCAACCCGCATAAATGTGTGGGATAAAGTCAGCTGATCGGAATGAGCTAACATTCATCAGAAATCAGAACAAAGTCGCATGTTTTCTGTTCGTTTTGATGCTTGGACAGAAATCCGAATCGGCCAAAGTGGAATCAGCTTTCAACAAATGGAAATCTGTACATTTCCAGTTGGAGCCAGAGTCAATCTGCACTTCAGTGTGAAGCTGTAATATCTGTCCGGATCACATGGGGTTGTGATGTCACTGCGGTCTTAGTCCAAAAGGGTCTTAAACATGTCTTAATCTGTCCACTGTCTATTATCTTGTTGCTCCCAGTTTGGTCCCAAACTCCCCAGAGTCGTCCCACCTTTCTAGGCTTCCTGACTCACATGGAAAAGGTTCAGATTCCCACTATGGCCTTTGGGAATGCGTCCCTCAGGCGTATGGACAGGATGTCCCACTCACATGAAGGGAAAGAGAAGCCCTGTAGACGTTAGGACACTCTGGCAGACTTTGCTGCTGAGTAGAGGTTTAGATTGTGTCTTTCAGCAGGAGCAGAGTGTGGTCCACTTAGATATGATTAATAATTATAATAAAGCCTCTTTTCCTTATTTTATATGAACACAATTCACACGTGTGTGATTTTTAAACCACGCTGACAGTTTTCTCCTCTTGTTGTCAGATACTGATTGAGTTCTGTGCCGGAGGGGCCATGGATGCCGTAATGCTCGGTGAGTCAGTCCTCACCTTAAAACACCAAACCAGTAAACAAAGCAAAACAACAATAACCCCAGTTTAAGACAGGAACTGGCTCCAGTGGACCTCCACTAACCACCTGTGATTGGGTTTAACCTCACAGAGCTGGAGAGGCCGCTGACGGAGCCCCAGATCAGGGTGGTGTGTAAGCAGACCCTCCAGGCGCTGGTTTACCTCCATGAAAACAAAATCATCCACAGAGACCTGAAGGCTGGAAACATCCTCCTCACGCTGGACGGCCACGTGAAGCTGGGTAACTGAAGCTTCTGTCCGCTTCATTCATCTTCGATCTATTAGTCGTCTAACGTTTCAGCTCTCAGGAGAAAATAAAAGCTTCTTCTTTCTGTTTTTCATATTTATATAAACATGTTTGTCCGTGTGGTTCTGGAGATGTTCTGTACATCATAAATCCACATGGTGGAGCTTAAAGTTAGGATGGAGAGGCTGAAGCTTCTGATGTGATCTGCGGACAAATCAGGAAAAGAAGCCAAGCACAACCTGACCATGACTTCATGTCCTTATGTGACCTAATTCAGGTTTTAATGCCATATTCCCACTCCTAGTCTCAGGTCAGATCTGTAGGTTCAGTATTTCCCATCATGCATCTCTTTAGTCATCAGTGGTTACTGGCACATGCTGCTTTGTGAACCTGTTCTCTTCAGTCTCAGATCATGAGGGTTACAACACAAGAGCGGTTCTGAACCATAACTGTGACCCACCAGGGACCGGTTAGAGTTCTCCATGATGGACTCAAACGTCAGTCTGGTGACCAGCTCAGAAGCTGCTGGAACAGCTGATGAGTCATGGTGAAATAATACACAGCTGGTGTTTTATCCAGAGACATCACACACACACACACACACACACACACACACACACACACACACACACACACACACACACACACACACACACACACACACACACACACAATGGGCCAGCTGGGACACACACATTATCTAACGATGACATCACCTTACAAACAGCTGACATGGTACAGAGTCATTTCTGGGTTGGTTTGGTGTTGATGTCCCTGATGGAGCCTCTAGTGGGTGGAGTCTTTTATCTGGAGTGTTTCCATGGTTACCCACTGTTGTTCCACTGACTAATTCCTGGTCTTTGCTTCTGTCTCACTCCTTCCAGCTGACTTTGGTGTGTCTGCCAGAAACACCAAGACGTTGCAGCGCAGAGACTCGTTCATCGGAACGCCGTACTGGTGGGTTTCCTGTTTGTTTCCCTTCATGCCGAGTAGAGGAGCATAGCCACTCGCACTAACCCCCCCCCCCCCATCCCTGTTCCAGGATGGCTCCTGAGGTCGTGATGTGCGAGACGTCTAAGGACCGGCCCTACGACTACAAGGCTGACATTTGGTCCCTGGGAGTCACGTTGATCGAGCTGGCGCAGGTTGAGCCGCCCAATCATGAGATGAATCCCATGAGAGTCCTGCTGAAAATAGCCAAGGCCGACCCCCCCACCCTGATGCAGCCATCGCGCTGGTGAGTCACAGCTAATGTGGGCGGGGCCTCCAGGTGGTGCTCACTCCTCACCCCTGCCACATGGACCCAAGGGATAAACCATCAATTCTGCTCAATGGTCAACTTTCCTCGCGGGGTGGTCACACCCATCAGGACAGTGGGAGGGTTAAACAAAATATTCTAGTGAATTTTTGTCATCTTAGCTGGATTTATTCACACCTTTTAGGGTTCGTGCTCCTAGCAGCAGGTTAAAGAGCCTGGTTTATGACTTCTGAACAGTTTTTCTGCATCAGCTGCAATAATAGGCTGCTCAGGACAGAAAAATAGTTAAATAAAAACAAGTTAGTTTTTGTACCTGCTGGTTGCAACAAACAGACACCACTGAAGGTAATCAGAAGTGAGCAACAGAAGAAATAATTACTTTAATGTTTAGAGCAGCAGGAACTCTGAGAGGCTGCAGGCGCATCAGTGAGTTTGCAGCCGCTGCGCAGGGGGAGGGGGGAGAGGGCTGAAGCAGGGGGAGAGGGCTGAAGCAGGGGGAGAGGGCTGAAGCAGGGGGAGAGGGCTGAAGCAGGGGGAGGGGGCTGAAGTGGAGCAGTAAAGATGCTAAAACTACCGTTGTTAAACGAAATGTGTGTTAACTTAGAAAATGTGGGCGCAATTTTAATTACTTGTCAACTTTTTTCTCCAACGTTAAGACTGCTGCACAAAAAAAAACTGCTGCTCGCGTGGGCCCCCTTGTGGCTGTGGGCCCCTGGGCCTGTGCCCAGTTTGCCCGTATTATAATCCGGCCTTGCCCCCAGGGGCCAGAGATGGCCCACGAGCCACACGTTGGACATCCCTGATGCAACATCAACACTCTGATCACTGGAAAACAAAATGAAGGGACAGTTTATTCTATATTTTGAAGATTTCTCTCCAAAACAACCAAAGCTGAGTTGCACTTTGCGATTAAAAGCTGGTTTTACTTCCTTTCAGAACCATGATTCCATTTTTCTTTGGTTCTTGTCTATAAGAACCAAAGAAAAATGGAACTGGAAATGCAACACTGAATGAACTTAACAAATATATTTGAAGAACCATCGTAGGTTCTGGAAAGCTTAGTTTGTTTTTAACGTTCCAGGTCTCCGGAGTTTACGGACTTCCTGAAGCGTTGCCTGGATAAGAACGTGGACAACAGATGGGGAGCAGCTCGGCTGCTGCAGGTACCTTTTATTCTTGTTGCTGTCAGTAGTCCGACCCAGCTCCACCCCCCCACCCTCACCTGTATGCCACCTGTCCTCGGAGCATGAGCAGCCTGAGACGACAGCTGTTTACCTGCTCGGTTTGGCTCTGAGCCGTCTGTTCTGACGCTCATCCCTCTGCGCCTCACCTACGTCAGCAGGCAGGCTTTTCTTTTTCCGTCGGGTTTAACGTGCTCCGACGGGTCAGAACCACTTAATGTGCAGAGAGAGGGTGAGGACGCGTCCCTACAGCACCGCGCTGCTCCGTCCAGATCCAGTCAGACCAGATGGGCTTGAAAATACAGAACAGTGGTCTTACTCCGGTCAAGGTTTTACTGTCGAAGAAGCTGCTGATCATCAGGCCCGCCATCGATTATGTGCTGCCGGTTTCTAAACCAAAGACGGTGAGACTGAGATGTTTTACTGGTGTGAAATATTCAGCTGGTTTGTTATGCTGGGAGGATCTGCTAGGGTTGGGCATCGATTGGAACCGGGACCAACCGTTAGATTGTTCATTGTCTTTTATTTTGATTCCCAGTTTCGATTCCTAGAATGCCGACCAGAAGAGGAACCCGCGGCTGAAAAATAAACATTACCTGCAAATTGTGATCAACGCTTTTCAGAGCCGATCACACCAGCTGTCTGTGTGCAGCTGAGTCCTCCCATCGCGTCTGCCGAACTTTAACTCCGTGGTGTAAACGTTAACTCCTGCAGCGTAGAGGAAACGTGTTAAATACGTCAACACGGTGGATTCAATAGAAGCTTAAAGAACAAACTCTGGACGTGTGAGGTGAGTTTGTCTCACTGCAGAAATAACAACACACACGGAGCGTCAGCAGTCACCAACACTCGTGTGTGTGTGTGTGTGTGTGTGTGTGTGTGTGTGTGTGTGTGTGTGTGTGTGTGTGTGTGTGTGTGTGTGTGTGTGTGTGTGTGTGTGTGTGTGTGTGTGTGTGTGTGTGTGTGTGTGTGTGTGTGTGTGTGTGTGTGTGTGTGTGTGTGTGTGTCAGAAGGCTGAACAATAACCTGTAGAATAATTAAAGTCATCATGCTAGAGAAGCTTCTCTGTGGTGGACCACACCAGCTTCTGCCACAATAAATAACAATAATAATAATAATAAATCACACACAAAGTTGTAAACATTTTCCTTTCTGAACTGTTTCTGTTGAGTTTTAATGTTTAAATCTGTTAGCTTGTTACTGACAGCAGCTACGTTTGTTTCACTTCCTGTTGTGACTGAAGCTGCTGCAGCATGGAGGTGTAGTTCTCAGTCGTCCTGGACATGATCATCCTGAGAGTTTCAGCTGGAAACAGCTGGACGTTTCTGGATATGTTGGAGACATTTAGCCTCTCATCCCAGAGGCTGCTTCCACACTTTGGTTGTGGTCAGAAACAAACACACTGGTTGTGCTGCAAGTCGTCTTCTTTTGTCTCCAAAACATGTTTTAGTCTAAATGAAGGTGATGATGTTGTTCATAGAGTTAAAATTCATGTTGAAGTTAAGATTATTTCATCCAGTAGGACCTGTGGTCAGCTGGCTCATGTAAACATGTCATGTCTTCAAAGAATCGGAATCGGGAATCGATAGGAACCGGAATCGAAACGAGGAATTGGAATCTGAACCGTTCAGAATCAAACGATGCCCAACCCTAACCTCAGCTGGTGTTTATCTGCGGAACGTCGAGTCTTTCCTGCTAATGATCCGAGTCTTCCGTCCATACGAAGCAGAAGTTAGGTTTAGCTGTCAGATTCAAACGTGTTTGTGACGTTTGCAGCATTCGTTTGTGTCAGCCGTGACCGACAGCAAGCCGCTCAGGGAGCTGATCGCCGAGGCCAAAGCCGAGGTTACCGAGGAGATCGAGGAGCATAAAGAGGAAGAGGAGGAGGAAGAGGCAGAGGCACATCTGGTGAGTCAACCTGCACTCCGTTATGCATCAACTGAGTGAAACTGGAGGGAAACAGAAGGACTGACGACTAAGTGTGAAAACAAAAGCATCTTTCATCACAGATGTGGTTTATCAGCTGCTAAAGTAAATAAACAACATCTTTCCTGTCCATCATGGACAAAGTTTGGTTACAACAATCAGTTCTAGACTCACTGCACATCTGGATTTGCACCAGCATCCTCGTCAAACAGCTGATCCAGCTGGAATCTGGTTCAGCACCTCTTAACAAGTAAAACAAACGTGAGTGAGTTTAGGATCAGGTGCTGTGAGATGAGAACTGGAGCGTTGGGGAAGTATCCCACTTCCCTGTTGCCTCTGGAGTGTAGGAGTATCCATTAAACACGGCGTTGTGAGCTGATGTCATAATTAAAACTCACAACTGCTGATCTACCGCAGCTTTTCACTCGTGACTCCTAAAACTAGAACCTGGTAAGTTCTGGTCTCATGTTCTCTGGTGTATATAGACCTAAACTATACCAGAAACCTGCTTTCACAAGATCCTCGTTCAGACGAGGCCATCTCCTCTTAACTCTAACGCCGTTCCTGAAAGAATGAAGAAAACAAAATGGATGAAGATGAAATCTTTCTGCATCTGTGTTTGGTTTTAGTCTCTGATTAATCAGCTGCTGTTTTTCCTTCAGGGACATAAACGTGCTCCGTCTGATGCCAGCGTCGCCAGTTCAGAGGATGAGAAGATCCCCCTCTCCCCCTCCCCCTTGGAGTTGGTCCCTGAGAGGCTGGAGCCGATCCCGCCTGTTCCCACTGCGACCGAGCTTCCTGTGGCCAACCACGTGGTGGAGTCCAACGTTGCAGAGGCTCCGGAGTCTCCGGCTGAAATTTCCTCACCACAACCAGAGGCACCTTCTAAAGAAATGCAGCAGCTGGGTGTAAATGTGGAGGATGAGAAGGAAGTGGACACGGCAGAGGTCCCAGAGGCCTCTGAGCCTCCTGCTCTAGAGGAGCCGAACAGTCCAGCTGAAGATGAAGAACAGTACAAACATCTGAAGGTGACTCTGACTCTACCAGATGGAGACGAAGTCCTAAAGGACGAGAACGACGGCAAACCTGCAGAGGACCGGATTAATTCTGAGGAGGAGGAGAAGGTGCCGGAAAAAACGAAAGAAGACGAAGAGAAAAACTCCGACTCGGGAAGTGTCTCAACAGCAGACAACAGCAGTGTGGACCTGAATCTGTCCATCTCCAGCTTTTTGTCTAAAACGAAAGAACCTGGTTCTGTTTCTGTTCAGGTGAGCTCCAGAATCTTCACTGCTACCCACAAACCACCAGACCTCCTCCAATGCTCTCCTCTTTTCCTCAGGACACCAGACGCCAGAAGAAAACACTGAAAAAGACTCGGAAGTTTATGGTGGACGGGGTTGAAGTTAGCGTCACCACGTCAAAGATCATCACCGACAACGACGCCAAGAACGAGGAGATGAGATTCCTGAGGTAGAAACCTCTTTCACCAGACACCAGGAAGACTCACTGAAGCTCTGTAGAGGTCAGATCTTTGTTTGTCTGTTGTCCAGGCGACAGGAGCTGAGGGAGCTGCGCCTCCTGCAGAAGGAGGAGCAGAGAGCCCAGCAGCAGCTCAGCAACAAGCTGCAGCAGCAGAAGGAGCAGATCTACCGACGCTTTGATCAGGAGACCACGGTGAGTCCTCACTCTCATGTGGGTCTGACCTCTGACCCCCGGGAACCTCTGAGGACCCTGACCCTGACTAACTCTTCCTGGTCAGAGTACAGTAAGATTTACTTCAGTGTTCCTGAAGTTTTCAATAAATGATAAAAGTTTCAGATCATTCATAGAAAAGCAACACGAACGGGTCCAGATGTAAAATCACCAAACAGAACAAAATCGTATCAGATTAAGCAGCACCGCAGAACCCAGCCGGTTTGGAGTGGGTCGCTCCTCAAACCTGGAGACGCTCTCCGTGTTACCCACGAACCAGCAGGGCTGTTTTAGTAGAAATAATCTGCACAAGTGCTGCTATGAGGAGTAATTATTACCAGCCTCTTTTAAATAATCTCATTTAATCCTCTTCTGCCTGCTTCTTCTTTAATTTTACGACTCTGAAATTTTAATAAAAGGTGCAGAGTGTGTGTCTGCTCCTTTTTCAGAACAACCTGAGCTTCAGTCGGTGTTTAAGCTGCTGTTTTACAGGCGTTAAAGCTAAGTTTTAACATCTGAATGAAACAAACTGATCAAAGCTTCATGTTCCTGTATGAAAATGTTTGAGTCACCTGGCTAAAGCATCGGACCTGAGAGCGCCCCCTGCTGGGGACCAGTCCAGTTCCTGGTGTTGGTTCTTGCTGATGCTCCGCCTCGACTTCAGCTGCAGCTGAGTTCCTCTGTGTTCCTCAGAGTAAGAAGCGTCAGTACGATCAGGAGGTGGAGAACCTGGAGCGGCAGCAGAAACAGACCATCGAGAGGCTGGAGCAGGAGCACACCACCCGGCTCCGGGACGAGGCCAAGCGCATCAAAGCCGAGCAGGACAAGGAACTGTCCAAGTACCAGAACATGCTGAAGAACCGCAAGAAAGAGGTCAGTCCAGCCGTCCCGTCTCAAGCTGTTATTTTTAGCTCTTTCAGACACAAACAAGTCTGATCGTCTGAGTTTGTTTAACCTCCAGCTGGCTAAATCAGCCTCAGGTAGTCCTAATCCGCCCTAACCCTGAGATTCAGTCAGAAACACTGCGGCTCTACTGTTCTAGACAGAATATTCCATCCATATGGATATATAACGGATCAAGCCGACTCCTACTGAATGCTCTTCGATGGCTTCCATACTTGCTCGTTGGATGATGTGGGACAATCGAGCTGATTCTGATTCTGAGTCCACTTTGTTTTGGGACACGTTCTGGAGTTCCGAGGTCATTTCCTGCTGCTCTCCTTCAGTCGTTTGGCGTTCCTCGTGCTGCTTTCTGTTGTGATGCTGTGGTCTGGCGTTCCCTCTGGCCTACCTGAAAGATCAGAGTCGGTCATTACTAAGACCGACATAAAGCCGGGGTGTCTAATCCTAACCCTGGAGGGCCACGGTCCAGCATGTTTTAGATGTTTCCCTGCTCCAACACACCTGATTCAAGGTTGAATCACCTGTTCAGCAAATCACCAGGCTCTGCAGAAGCCTGTTAATCACCTGCTGATTAAAGTCAGGTGTGCTGAAGCCCGGACCACACTGAGGGTTTTTCGGCAGTGGCTCAGGACTCTAGCAGGACATGCTACGTCACCGGAAAGCATACGTCACTAAACGTCGACAATACTTAAGATGGGGACTCCCAGGGGGGCAGGACAGTCCTAACGTTAGCACCTGCTGCTATCTTGAATGTCCAAAAGGAGAGGAGGAAGAGACGGCAGTGGGCATGCGCAGGTGCTCTAGTGAATATACCGTACCAGCACAGCAGGAGAGCCGACCAAAGCGCCTTACAGAAGGTTAGAATAAAAACAGTTCAATCAAAAAAAAATGGATGCAAACAAAGAAAACATCACAATACAGTAAAAATAAGCATAAAGGGTCATAATCCAAAAGCAAATCATAGAAATGAGTCTTCCGTCTGGACTTAGTAACGTACCTAAAGGGTCAATTTTTCACCATCTAACTGACCGCAGTATCACCTTCCATCCACATACATAAATCCACTTTCTGTCAGGCCTCCAAATCCAGAAGGCTCTTCTCAGTGCCTGTTTACGTACAAGAAGACAAAACACACTCTGTCCCAAGGTCCTGCACTGTCTGCGTAAAAACCAGACTGCTGCATTCCCCACCATCTCCTCGAAGCCTACAGGACTTTCACTACTCATAAGCTTAAATAATCACGTGTTGAACGAACAAGACGGGTTAGGGTGATCCATTTCAGATCTTATGATCAGTATGTGTTTGATTTAACAAGTTAATCAATATCTACACTCACACACATTATAATAAGATGCTCATTAATGTTAATGTTCGCCTCACATAAGAGTTTTGAACATTTTCATTCACAAAGTGTAAAACCTCTTCTATCTGAAGAAGGCGTGGCTTTCTGAAGGATGTTGGTAAATACTCAAAAACGTGTCACATTCTGATTTGCCAAAACTCATCACAAAGTAGTTTCATAAAACAGGAATTATTTCCTGAGTAATTCAGTTTAAAGTATTGGAGTAACTGCAGCAGTTTTGAAGATAGAGGGAACAATACCGGAGGAAAGGGATGCGTGTATGAGAGCGGAGACGAGAGGGAGCAGGGAGGGGAGGCAGGATTTAACCAAGGCCGTGGGAAGGGGGTCGAGAAGCAGTAGCGGTTTTAGGCACGGGCAGACAGGGCAGGGCAGGTTTTCTATTATCTGTCATATATCACAGAGTCTGGATTGGAAACAGCAAGTTGGCGCCCCCTGCAGCTGCAGGCGCTCCTGCTGACTGAGAGGGTTCAGGTGCACCGTTGTGTATGAAGAAGAGGGGGGGGAGGGGTGCGGCGGGGGAATTCACCTCTGGGTCTTTCCCAAATGAAATGAGCGGGTGGGGCTGAATCATCTGTATTAACATGACTAAAGTCAATCACATCTTGATGATCTTCCATTTAACGCACATTTCATTCATAACATCATAAACACAGGCCTATCGTTCTTTCAGGTGTTTCTGAATTGTGTGAAATGACCGAATAAAAAAAGGAAAAACAAAACGATTTTGTGGTCACCCCCCATCAAGGTCGAATAGTTTAGTCCTGACTAAAGGAAACTTATGTTTATGTTGATGTTTATTTTTTTAGCAGACGCTTTTATCCAAAGCGACTTACAGTTTATAACCTATAGGGCGTGTTGTGATCTGTGGGGGGAACCGGAGTACCCGGAGGAAACCCACGCATGCATGGGGAGAACACGCAACTCCACGCAGAAAGGCCGCAGCCGAGTTTCCAACCTGCAACCTTCGTGCTGCGAGACAACAGTGCTAACCACTGCACCACCATGCAGCCTGACGCCAAAAGTGCCCTTTTTCATCACTTATGTGTGAAAAAGGGTTTTTCCCTTTTCTGACTGCAGATCTCAGTGCAGCGTTACACTGATGTGATGAGATATCCGCTGATGCGGCACCGAACCGGCTCGTTTAACCGCACCTAAACCTTAACAGTTCACTATTTATAACCTTCCCCTCTCCCTCCTCCTAACCTTAACCCTCTTGCTACCTAAAACGTTACTCTCACTGTGATCAAGCGTTTGATTCCTATGCATTCTGACTGTGAGTTTTCGTATTTGCCGCCCAAGGGGAACGTTAGAACATACCATCTGGCGAGGGGGAGGTTACACATACCCTCTACTTTTAACCTCCACCATGGTAGTTGAAACCTCCCCCTCACGGTGGCTCGGTCCAAACCCGACCAATGACGAGGCGACTCCCGCCGTTCACTTCATAGAGCCGGCTTTTAGAGCGACCGACACATCACCAACGTGTTCGCTAGCCAGATGGTTACGGTTTGGATAGGGTGAGGGGAAGGTTACATAAGAGGATAAGGGTAGGGTGAGGTACAATGAGCTTGTTTGGTGCCCTGGCTGCGGACATCCCATCGCATCAGTGTAACGCTGCGTTGGGATCTGCAGTCAAATAAGGAAAACCCCTTTTCGTCTGGGGTCTGAGGCGGAGGGTGGCTGACCAAGCGTTTGTGTTTGACGCGCTGGGAGTGAGAACGTGTTGTCTGACCGCAAACCTCCGAACCGCCGGGGCCAACTCATACAAGGGTATGGTAGCCTGCATGCTGGTGTCTGATGACTTTTATCAATAAACAACTCTCTAATTACAAACAACAACAAATGATTTTACAGCCCAGACTTCACAACTTTCTCCGATACAAAGAACGGTTTTGCCAAACATCTAGCTTCCATTACAACATTTCACCCATCCCATTAAACCAATTACACCACCTCGTTATTCATATCTTGTCATGTATAATCATTAGTTTAGGAAAATAATTAAATTCATTTTATAAACGATAAACTGACTCTGAATTATACCAAGTGTGTTTGTGGTCCCTGAATAAGCAAAGAACCCTAGAATCTTCTGATTAAACATTCAAACAACAATCTGATTGATACTTCATATTTATATGGAATCATCGCATCTTATTGATCATAATTAATATGTCGTGTCAATCATTATCAAGTTCACTTGGACGCTACAACTGTAAGACCGAGACGGATGAAGACTGCAGTATGGAGATGGGAAGGGCATTCCAAAGGACAGGTGCAACAGACACAAGCCTGCTCCCCCTCACTTTATAGGTCATTATGGGGGTGCACAGCAGCGAGCGGTCAGCTGACCTCAGAGTGAGCACCAGCACATCGTGTGAGCAGCTCTGGAACGTAGGAGGGTGCGAGGCCATTCAGTGGCTTGTAGACAAAGAGTTCAATCTTGAATCACACCCTGAAGGTCACGGCCAGCCAGTGTAGATGTGCCCACACCGGGGTGATGATAGAGCACATGGACTCTGAGCTCTGATTGGTCCGTACCAGCAGGTATCTCCTAAACATGCGTGGATGTGTTTCCATCTGGTCTTCTGTTGGTCTTCATCTAGGAGCAGGAGTTCCTCCAGAAGCAGCAGCAGGACCTGGACAGCGCGCTGAAGAAGATCATCCAGCAGCACAAACACGAGCTGGCCACCATCGAGAGGGACTGTCTGAACCACAAGCAGCAGCTTCTCCGAGGTAGAAGCCGGATGACCTCAGGTCTCTCTGCAGGTTCTCATGGGAAGCTGCTGGTCTCCTAGCAACAGCAGCTCCAGCTGATGTTCAGCCGGCTCTAGATACACCCGTAGGCTCATGAAATGATGAGGAGTGTAGCACCGGAGCTCTAAAACATTCAGTTTAATCTTTTTTCAGAGATGATTCTTACTTTTAACTTAGAAAACTGAAAATATCACATTTACCACATCGTTATCCTAAATGTTTATTCAGATAAAATAAAAACGGGAAGAACAGGAACGGTTCTCCCGGGGTCCAAGAGTGCAGATCAGGTCTTCTGGAGACTCCCCACCAAAACCATCATGAGTGTAATAACAGAAATATTTCATATTCATGTGAAATATCAATGAAAGTAAAACAGAATTAAAACATTTCTGTCTAAAACCTTTAAAAACTTAATAATCTCGTTTGTTTCTCAGTTTTTTTTAGGTTAAAGAAACAAAAAAAACTTTTTCTTCATAATTTTGTTATTTCTGTTTTAACAAAAATCTAAAAGTTCTTCATTATCTCTGATGAATCCGTTATTAGCTGCTGAAATGCGTTTGGTGCTTGTTTGCTCCTCCTCAGCTCGGGAGGCGGCCATGTGGGAGCTGGAGGAGCGCCACCTGCAGGAGAAACACCAGCTGTTCAAACAGCAGCTGAAGGACCAGTACTTCATGCAGAGACATCAGCTGCTAAAGAGACACGAGAAGGTTGGTTTTACTCCTGAGGTGTCCCTGCAGTTACCATGGTTACGGGTTGACATTATAGGGGCTGCTCCCCTCACACCCGTTCTGTGTTTGTAGCTCAGGTGAGCTGATCATTCAGAGAAAAGTCAAAACTGTTTTTTTAAAGGAAAGTGGTAAAAATCAGTTTTTATGGTAGATTTAAGTTCATGCAGGAAGTCTTCCTATGATATATTTTTATTTTTGTAATTATCTGATTTAAAATTAGTCTTTTTTTGTTCCTAAAATATAAAATGCTGCCACCTGCTGGTAGAACATGGTACTGACCATCTAGTTAAACCATTAACTTGATATTTTAGCTTCTAATTAATCTGAACTGTTTCCAGCTCAACTTCTGCTATTTAAAACCATTCATCAAAGTATTTTATTAAGTTTCTATTAAATTCCCATCATGATGGCTTAGGGTCGAGGTCAGAGGTCATCCTAGAGTCAGCTTCGGATTTCCCTCTAGTTTTGGTTGGAGCTGCAGCTAAATGGGAATTGTACTGAAACATAAAGAGTTAGTAAAAGTCAAGAGTCTGAGCGTCTTCATTTTTATGCGTTGCCATGGCAACAGAAACAGCCGCTAACACAGAATGTCACATCTCCGTCGACAGGAGATGGAGCAGATGCAGCGCTACAACCAGCGTCTCATCGAGGAGATGAAGAACAAACAAACACAGGAAAGAACCCGACTGCCCAAAATCCAGCGAAGTGAAGCCAAAACACGCATGGCCATGTTCAAGAAGAGCCTCCGCATCACGGGAGCCCTGGTCACCCCCGAGCAGGAGAGGGAGAAGGTCAAGCAGGTTAGCTGCTCCGACCAGGCTGGCGAGCCTCGTTAACCCCCTAAAATGAAAACACCTGTGCTTGTCTTCAGTTTGCAGGTCAGGAGGAGAAGAGGCAGAAGAACGAGAGGCTCCATCAGCACCAGAAACACGAGAACCAGATGAGAGACCTTCAGCTGCAGTGTGAGGCCAACATCAGAGAGCTCCAGCAGCTGCAGGTCAGTTTGTCTTCCGCGTCTGACGCCGTGAAGCTGTGATTGGATAAACCTGCTGAAGTAGCGCGTCGGTTTGTGTCTCAGAACGAGAAGTGCCACCTGCTGATCGAGCACGAGACCCAGAAGCTGAAGGAGCTGGATGAGGAGCACAGTGTGGAGCTGAAGGAGTGGAGAGAGAAGCTCCGACCTAGGAAGAAGGTGAACTACCTGCATGACATCATGTGACCCGACTCCTCCGTGTTCTGTTTTACACCAGACCCAGCTGGAGCTGTTCCTCAGAAACCTTCAGTCTCTGATCTTCTCCAGCTGTTTGGTGCTGCTAATGATAGTCCATCGCGTTAGCTGCCTCATGCTAACGGAGATGTTTAAAGGTTCAGTAAAAACAGTTTTAGCACCAGCTCAGTGTGTCGCGTCTGAAACTGTCCTGCTGGAAACAGTTCCTCAGCATGTTGGTTCTACCACACCAGGTTTGGGCTCTGAGCTTCGGGTCATGTTGGAGAACTGAAGGAACGTCCTCCTGAGCGCCGGTTATGTCTCTGAAAACAAACAAGGACATGTTTTTTAGTTGATTTTGGGGTTTGTTTTTTCCCCTGCAGGCGCTGGAGGACGAGTTCGCCAGGAAGTTACAGGAACAGGAAGTGTTCTTTAAGATGAGCGGCGAATCAGAGTGCCTTAACCCAACCAACCAGAGCCGCATCTCCAAGTTCTACCCGATCCCCAGTGTCCACTCCACTGGGTTCTAACGAGACCCAGTGCGCGCGCACGCACACACACACACACACACACACACGAGGATGACGAAGACTGACTTGGAGCTGCGTGCCTTCGCTCAGTTGGACCTTCTTGCTGTGATTTAGACGTTTTCCCGAAGCTTCCAGTGCCTGACGAGTCGGACGTTTCCTTTGGACTGAGGAAGCTGCTTTACGAACTCTGTTTGGTTAAATCTGAGTCAATAATTGTTGTTTCAGTCGTCTCCGGCCCCTCCTGTGTCATCACATCGGCTCTTTGTGGTTCAAATCATCAAACTGATAATAATGCAGTTTTTACTTTGGTTTAGGTTTAAACCACACCCCCGGGGGGGGGGGGGGGGGGGGGGTGTATGTGTCTCAGAAGAACAGAAACAAAATCTGTGGAAACGATCAAATGTTTTCATTTGTAGAAAAAAGCCTTCATGTCCGAAGTTCCCGTCTCCATTTAAATACAAGCATGAGCCTGTAGCATAACTATTATAATATTAATGTCATTATTAGTTAAAATGGTGGAAATCCAACCTAGAAGCGGACCCGACTGGTTTGGGCCATTGTGACAGATCGGTTTCTCATAATTTGGCTGCTGAGTTTTTTTTAATGAAGGAATGAAACAGTGAAGGAGTGCTGGACACCTTTTAGTTAATATTTATACAAAACACGTCAGACACAAACGTATCCTCATTTCCAATCAGAGTTCAGGTAAAACATCCGTGATTTCTGTCATTCTGATTTTTATTCTGATGTAAATAAACTTTTTCCTCCCAGCTCACAGTTTTTCTTCTGGTGTCAAAAAATACATTCATGAAAATTAAAACGTCAAAAAACACCCAAAAGTATAAAAATATATCAGGAAATTCATTTGGTCCCAGAGAATAAAACATGGAGGCAACATTCCCCAGATAATTAACCTACAATAATACTACATCTGATCCAGGCTCTCAGACTCCGGCATTCCGCTTCCGTTTGGCTGTCAGCAGCTGGAATTCTCCTGGAATGCCACAAACATCAAATAAATACCAACAGCAGCCTTTCCTTTGAGGGTGACCGATTCATTTCTTTGAAGTTTTGCTCAAACTGAAAAGTGCAAAGCTCAGATTTCCAGGAACTGACCTCTGTCACCTTTTGAACCTCTGTGACCCTGAGCTCCAGGAGAGCCTCGTTCACCTGCATCCAGACACAAACAACCTCCTTAAAAACGGAAAAATTGATATGAAAACAATTTTCCTGAAGACGTTTCTGATTTATCCATGGTTCTCGACCGGAAAAGGGTGGCTTGCCAACTCCGGGTCGGGGGAGAGGTCCTACCTCAAGTGGAAGAGTTTAAGTATCTCGGGGTCTTGTTCACGAGTGAGGGTAGGAGGGATCGGGAGATCGACAGGCGGATTGGTTCGGCGTCTGCAGTGATGCGGACGCTGAGCCGATCTGTCGTGGGGAAGAGGGAGCTGAGCCAGAAAGCCAGGCTCTCGATTTACCGGTCGATCTACGTCCCAATCCTCACCTATGGTCATGAGCTTTGGGTAATGACCGAAAGAACGAGATCGCGGATACAAGCGGCCGAAATGAGTTTCCTCCGTAAGGTGGCCGGGCTCAGCCTTAGAGATAGGGTGAGGAGCTCGGACATTCGGGGGGGACTCGGAGTAGAACCGCTGCTCCTCCGGATCGAAAGGAGTCAGTTGAGGTGGTTTGGGCATCTGGTCAGGATGCCTCCTGGACGCCTCCCTGGGGAGGTGTTTCGGGCATGTTCTGCCGGCAGGAGGCCCCCGGGTCGACCCAGGACACGTTGGAGAGGTTACATCTCCAATCTGGTCCGGGAACGCCTTGGGGTCCTGCCGGAGGAGCTGGTGGAGGTGGCCGGGGAGAGGACGGTCTGGAGCTCCCTAGTTGGGATGCTGCCCCCGCGACCCGGACCCGGATAAGCGGAGGAAGACGACGCGGACGTTTTTGATTTCTCAGCTAAATGGTTTTAAGGTTTCACCTTTAGCTCCTTTGGGTCCAGGATTTCCAGGTGGTCCAACGATGGCGCCATGTGCTGAAGAAGATAAACCTAATTATTACTAAATAGTTTTCTTTGTCTCATGTGGACAGACATGGCCGTTACCTTTGATGTAGTCCATCATGTCGACCATGTTGGCGTGAGAACCAAATAGCCGATTCTTTCCTGGGGAGCCTGGAGGTCCAGGTGGACCGGGAGGTCCCTGGATGTAACGCCCATGGTTCTGCTTGAGGTCTGCAGGAGGAAAAATACCAATTTAAACTCAACATCAGAGGGTTATGGCTTTGTTGTGGGGTTCAGATTCTCACCCTGGATGAACTCCAATAGATCTGTGGCATTTTCTTGAAAACCAAAGGGTCCACCTAATCCTGGTGGACCTGGAGGTCCAGGTGGTCCTGGAGGGCCTTTGAAGATCTGGCTGTTATAGTCCTTCATGATGTCGTCCAGAACACCGTGGGCTGCAGATAAACGGTTACAACTTAGAACAAAAATCAAATGTATTCAAGTGGGTATTAAAGGGATACTATGCAACTTTCATATTTAAATCATTTTCTTGAGTCAGTTTGTGCTAAAATGACCCTTTACAGAGTTAATGACATGTCACTCAGACCCCAGCGCCCCCTGTGGCCAGAATACCGCACTTGCAGCTTCAGAGTGCCTGGAGTCTGTTTCCAGCACATTTCCTGCATGTTTTAGATCATGAACCCAGCTGTTTTGTTTTGTTTAGTGATGAATCGCTTCTGTAGAAGCTAATGAAGGCTGAGGAGACATTTCAGCATTTAGAAGGTGTTAAAAAGACGAGCGCACAGCGACAAAATAAGTTTCACTTTTGGTTTCACTAACTGGACACTAGGGGGTGCTAAAAGCAAGGCAAAACTGCCAAGTCTCCTATTTTTGTAAAGGTTCAAAGACCAAAGAAAGTGGTGTCCTGAAGGCCCCATAGCTCCCCCCGATGGACAGCAGAGTACATGCATGTCGCACCGATGGAAATGTGCTGCCGTATCTGTTTTTTGTTCCAGTGAGATTTTTGTAATTTAATATTTAAAAACATTGTTTGCACTAATGTGGATCAGAGTCATAACTGATTATAGGAATAAAACATGCTTCCTGTTTTCACTGGTTGTTAAAGTTAGAAACAGTAGAAGCTCAAACGCACCTCTGATGAGAACCCCCCCCCCCCCCCCCCCCCCCCCCACACACACACACACACACACACACCGCGTTGTGTCTAATTCCCACCAACCTTTGATGTAATCAGTAACTTTTCCCGCCACAAGGGACAAGTCAACAGAGTCTGGGCTCCACTCAGTGACACCTGGCTCTCCTTTGTGTCCTGGGGGGTCCAGGAGGACCTTGACCAGGAAGTCCAAACATGGCACCGCTCCAACCGTCTTTACCAGCTAGAGTTTAAAATATGATACTGAAACGTCATCATCAATCATCCAAGTTAAAAAGTTAAATACGCAACACACACACACACACACACACACACACACACACACACACACACACACACACACACACACCAGTGTTCAGACCTCAGACTAGTGAAGGACTCCGAGTTCTCAGTCTCAAATACTCAGAAATACATTTAGACTCACTCCTGAGGTATTCTTGTCTTTCCGCCCTCGGCAGCTCTCCGTTAGGATGGTCTGTGAAGGAGACGAGTGACCCGGTGGAACCAGGGGGGCCCTCGGGTCCAGGGGGCCCTTGGGGGCCCTCAGGTCCCCTGGAGACAACACCTGCAGCAAATCACTTATCTCATTATGAAGAAATTTCAAAGTCTAATACAGCTTTTATTTCTAATTCATCCTGAGAACTTCCTCAGAACTAGACCAGGATCTGGAGTGGTCCTAAGTCTGGACCAGAAACAGGAGTAGTCCGCTCAGAGACCCTCAGAGGGCTGAATGTCTGCAAACCAAAGAGCTGAAAAGAACTGGACCAGAACTCTTCCAGAATCTCAGATCTGGTCTACCAAAGTTAGAGTTTCTCCTGTTGAATGAGGTTCTGATGGAATCAGGTGGAATCAGTTCTTCAGCTGCTGCTTCTGCATCTTATCTTGGTTTAAACGTTTTCATGTTCTCAGATGGACCTTCTCTCCAGGACCTGATTGGTGTTAACCAGTCTGGGTTTGTGGACCTCTCACCAGATGTTTTTATTTTTAAAGTAATTATTTCTTCGGGGTTCTCTTCAGACTCACTCTGCAGGTAGTGAGGAGATCTGAGCTCACATAGCTTCCAAATGCTGGTGATCCAGGAGGTCCAGGAGGACCCTCTGGCCCAGGAATTCCAGGAGGTCCAGGAGGGCCTGGAGGTCCCACAAGCGAATGAAATCCAGCTAAATGGGGATTGGAGACAAGCTTCTATCAGTAGAGTCAGGAGGGACTAGCAGGAAACAGGGTGTTGGTTCTACTGGGTGGATTTGTTTCAGTTTAAAATGAGAACTCTCGTGAGTTTCTTACTTGCTAACAAGTTTCCAGGAGGTCCAGGAGGTCCAGGGGGTCCAGGAAGCCCAGTGGAACCCAACAGGCCCCTTTCTGAAAACAGAGGTGCCGTAAAATTAAACATTCTTGGTTCTGAAGATCTTGAGATGTTCCTGTAACGCTCACCGTTCATGAGAGCGTAGACACGTTCAGCCACATCCTGGGTGTTAAAGGGGTAGCTGCCAAAACCTGGGGCTCCAGGAGGTCCTGGTGGGCCAGGTGGACCTGTGAGATAGGCCCTTACATCTTCTCCTAGACACAATCAAGAGGTTCAGAAGATATGGACAGATGTGTTCCAGAACCAGGAGTAACAAACTGGACACTCACGCTGCAGCAGACTGATGATGTCACTGACAGAGACAGATCCAGGTGGACCAGGAGGACCAGGAGCTCCAGGACCTGAACCTGGAGGGACACATCATTGCTTTTAACAAACAGACATCTGCATAAAACCAGTTAGAAGATAGATGAGAGATGATGCTAGTTTTACTCTGAATGTAGGCGATGACTCGACTGGCGACATCATCTACTAGTCCATCTTCTGATCCTGGTTCCCCAGGTGGACCTGGAGGTCCAGGGGGTCCAGCCAGGTACTGTCTGATGCCATCACCTACAGTTGGCAGATAACCAACGTTAGCTCCTCCCTTCATCGTTGACTCATAAATAATGTTGAGTAAAACCCAGAGAAACCCACTCTGGAGGTAGTCTGAGATGTACTGTCCCACGAGGGGGGAATCACCTCCAGGCGGACCAGGTGGTCCAGGAGGACCAGGTGGTCCTGGAATATATGAGCTAGCTGAAACCAAACAGAAACCATCTCACAGGAAGTGTCTCCATAATCAGCTGTTTCGTAAAGGATTTAAAATCACCACCAGGTGTCGACACTCGGAGAAATCTGCAAAACCTTTTGTATCAAATTCAGTACAAATGTTATTAATTTGATGTTATATATACGTTAATATTCACGTTCATGTTTATATTTTATAGAAACATTTATTTGTTAATAAATACTCATTAATATTTGGATTCAAACACAAAATAATGTATTTCCACCATTAATAGAAGCTGTTTCTCACATTGAGTGGACTCTTACATAAACTGGGGGTGGTGCTACTAACGGCCACCAGATGGAAGCAGAAACATCTAGAGCTGGCTCCATAGGAACAAACATGGTGGGAGCCAAACATGTCACATCACTGAGTAAATCTACAGAGGCGGACCTCAGAAGCTGATTGGTTGAGTCAGATTTTTAATCCTAAAACAAGGAGAGTTGAACGTAGAATTTATTTTAAAGGTTTAAAGCCGAAGTCAGTAAAAATCCAAATGTTTTGTTTGCTTACCTTGACCTGGTTCACCTGGAAGACCAGGCTGACCCGGCTCACCTGGAAAAACAAAACAAACCCTGATTCCACATGGTCATGGACCATAAAGCCTGGATGTTTAAGATCTTCTCCCACCTTGGTATCCCTGTGGACCTTCATCACCTAAAACAAACGAAAAATGTTTTAGTGAACTTGGATCTCCTGGATCCAGACAGGTGTTGGACCTGATCTCTGTTACCTGGTGGACCCTGTGGGCCTGGAGGTCCTGGAGGTCCAGGTGGTCCAGCAAAGAAGGTTTCTACGCCACAGCAAAGAGACAAGAACAAAACTTGTTCAAAGACATGCTGTGGACCTGAAGTCCATTTGAAGGGGACGCTTTTCTCACCCACCTGATGTGGGCACAAAGCTGCCAGGTTCTCCTTTCTCTCCTGGGGGTCCAGGAGCACCAACGCCTGTGAAGATAAAATGTGGGCCCAGATCAGAAACAGAGAAGTTGAACTTTAACCCTGACAGTAGTTGGATCTGTAGTTTTGTGTTCACGGAGAACAAATTAGGTCTACCTGGGTCTCCAGGAGGACCTCTGCGGCCCGGTGGACCTTGTTTACCATCACCTGAAAGACATTAAAATGAGGCTTAGCTTCTTCTGAGCTGCTGTGCCTGGAAATCAACCTTCTACCTGATAAATAGCTTTAAACATACCAGAAGGGCCCTGAGGTCCAGGTTCTCCTGGAGTCCCTGGGGGTCCTGCTGGGCCAGGAGACCCAGTCCCTGAAGAGGAGAGGGATTAATGAAAACAAGGAAATCTTCTCTGACGTGATGCTACCACCGGATGTTTACAAAGTCTGGATTAAAGAATTGTTGGTTCTGCTGGTACCCGGCTCTCCACGTGGACCTTGCTCTCCTTTGTCTCCTCTCTCCCCACGATCTCCTTTAGAACCTAATAATTGAAATCACAGCGTCATGGTTTTTCTTCATCTCAGATGCTTAAGAAGGACCAACGGCCTGGAGTTACCTGGTTGTCCTGGAACACCAGCAGGACCAATGGGACCAGATAAACCAGGAAGTCCTGAAGGACCTGGAGGTCCAGCTGGCCCCGGAGGTCCAGGGATGGCCACGGTATCAGAATTAACTACAAAACCCAGGAGAGACAGAAACAAGGTCCACTAAAATCCAGAGCAGCTCAAAAAACATCTGGTGGTCGGAATCGACCGGATCTATCTAAATCTGGGATTGGCCAGTCAGGAGTGTTTCTGAATGCATCATCATCGTCATGCAGGGTCACAGCTGTACGGAAGTCACACATCAGTACCGGGTCTTTAGACCAGACTCCAAGCATCGCTGCTTTCATCAGAAACGTTCCAGTACTTACTCGGACCGACGACTTTCCCAGGTGATCCCGGTTCACCTGAAGGACAAAACCAGGTTTGATCTCAGGATGAAACAACAACTTTAACTCTGATTCAGACTAAAACATCGTTAAATAAAACAGCAGAAGTGTCTGAGTGAGGTTTCTGGTGTTCATGGAGTTATTTCTAGTATGTCTTGTTGGTTGAGAAGATCAGCAGCTTCACCTTTCCCACCAGGCTGGCCCGGACTTCCTGCAACACCTGCACGAAGAAACAAGTAAAGAAAAATCCTGAAACATCTGAACTTGAACCTGAAGTGAACCAGATTTTTTTATCAGGGTTTGGTATTCCACCTGGAGGTCCCTGCAGGCCAGGAGAACCTGGAAAACGCACGGAGAACTTTATTAGTCGAAAACAAGTCTTTCTTCAGCAGAACCAGAAGAACTCAAGAGAGTTTCTGTACCTGGAGGACCGACATCACCAGGAAGTCCTGGTGGTCCTCTCACACCAGGAAGTCCCATTGATCCTGCTTCACCTACAGTTTGAAGAAACACTTGTGAGTCAAATGTTCTATAGAACATTGTGATGGCCTTCTGACTACTTCATGGATGTAATTTTCACTTTAGAAGTGTGTGTGTGTGTGTGTGTGTGTGTGGGGGGGGGGGGGGGGGGTATCTTTACAGTATGCTCTAATGGGAAACCGGCTTCAACACAAACGGTTGTTTTCCGCTTGGTCCTAGAGCTCCACCAGTGTCGATTTAACAGTGTAATATTGATTTTGGACGGTAAAAAGTGCAGGGGTCAAAACATGACTTTGGAAAAAGTGGGGGGGGGGGGGGACATGCCCCCCCCCCCCCCCCCAAAAAAAAATAATTACGTCCA